CAGTGGGTTACAGCAGCAAGGGCAGCTCTTATATACAGATGAAGCTGAAGGGGGATAAAGATGAAGAAGAATATATTTTTCCCAAATTGAAATTTGACCAGAACTCAGGGGCTAACAGCTGGGTCTGGGATTTCCCATGGGCACAAATGGTCCAGGCTTTGGTTTTACACCTCATCTGGGAGGACAGATTTAATTGTAATCCCCAAAGGAAAATTTGCTTGGAAAGGAAAGAGGATGTTGTATGAAAATATTGGGCAACAAAGCTATACTTGTAGGCTGTGTCTACACTGGGCTGCTTTTCCGGAATAACTTGCCAGCTGTCTACACTGGCTGCTTGCTTTTCCGGAAAAGCAATGATGATCTACTGTAAAATTGTCAGTGTTTTTCCGGAAAAACTATGCTGCTCCCGTTTGGGCGAAAGTCCTTTTCCGGAAAAACTATTCCGGAAAAGGGCCAGTGTAGACAGCACATAGTCTTTTCTGCAAAAAAGCCCCGGTCACGAAAATGACGATCGGGGCTTTTTTGCGGAAAAGCGCGTCTACATTGGCCACGGATGCTTTTCCGGAAAAAGTGCTTTTCCGGAAAAGCATCCTGCCAATGTAGACGCGCTTTTTCCGGAAATACTTATAATGGAAAACTGTTCAGTTTTAAGCATTTCCGGAAAAGGGTGCCAGTGTAGACATAGCCATAATGTAACTGCATAAGCAGCCACATTTTCCTTCTGGTTGTGCTGCTCATTAATCAAGTTCAAAAGTGCTACAGCCAAACTCTTCTACTCCCAAAATAAATGTGAGGTAACTGCAGACAAGTTCAAATCCAGGTTTTTGGTATCTCCATTGTAAATCCTAAGACGATGTCTACTACTCAACCATGATTACCGACTTTAATTTCCACCATGGTTAACCTCTACAGCAGGTGTAAGAAGTCTAGGACATACATTTATCCTGAATTCCCGGACCCTGCTTGCTAAGAGATGGGACTTGTGACACCCAAACCAGGAATCACTGGGAATCTCATGGGCAAATCTGTTCTTGGGAAAGATCCACCCCAATTTCACAAGCTGCTTCAGAGAAAACCGTATTGGTGTAACTGAGCCTCCAAACCTTTGGAGGCACAGCCTTTCTTGTAGCAATCTGCCCAGTTGGTCAGCAATGGGGTTTTGTTATGTTCATTAATAAATCACACACCGAGACCTCACTGGGTCTGTCTCATCGGATTGGAAAGGTGTGATACTGTATAAGGCTAGAGTGGTGCAACAAACTCTCTGAATAACAAACCTGGTACAGGTTGAACCTCTGTAGTCTGGCACTCTTGGTCCAGCAACATCCACAGTCCAGCGTGATTTGAGTTAGCCGTGTGTCCTCTTATCATGGGTGTGGCCAAGTTTCCTGCGGTCCCATAAAGTTTGTTTACAGCCGCCAGTCCTGGCATCCAGTGTTCTGTGCTGTGATTTAGCTCCAAGTTACCCGTAACTGTCCCCTAGCATCCCAGGAAGCAGGGCAAGTGTTGGTGAAGCTACTAGACAATAGCAACCTCCTGTGGTCCGGCAAATTCTCTGGTTTGGCACCGGTCAGGTCCGGAGGGTGCTGGACTGGAGGGTTCAGCCCGTACGTCCGACGGCAGTCGCTGACTAGCTCGGTGAAAGGTCGTCAGCTTGGTGATCTTGGCTAGAATTCTTGGTCACAAATAGAGCACTCTCGTATTTGTCTGACCCCAGCTTGGGAGGGCGTTGCACTCCCCACTCAGGGTCACTCCGGGGCACTGGGGCAAAAATACCTGATGCCCTCCCGCGAGCCCGGTGTCCCCGTTTGTCCCGAAGCTAATAAGAAAACAAAGGGTAGTGGCTGCTCCCCCCCGCTTGGCCCCGGTTCTTCTAGCCGTGGGTCCTTGCTGTGCGCCTCGTCCGGCCCGTATGCCCTGCAGGGAGCACAAAGACTGTCCTCCCTCCCTCAGCCAAAAGCTGGGACACTACGATGCCCGCCTGCCCTTCCTGCCGGCGCCCCCGCAGGCCCGTCTCTGTGGTAGCTCCGAGTCCTGCCCGCCGCCGAGGACGCTGCCGTGGCAAGCGCATGCCAGCGGCCTTGCTCAACGGGCCGCACAAGCGCTGCCAAAGCTTCGTGCAGGAAGAGGGAGGCGCTGATGTTTGCAGTGCGAGGGAGGTGACATGGGACCTGCGGTCAGGCCCAGGGCAGAAGTTGGGCTCACAGCTCATGGCATGCCAGGCTGGGCATGCAGCTGTACGGGCATGCGGCGTCCGTGGCCTGTGTGTCACAGCCATGGTGGGCAGGGCAGCGTCCCTGGGCTAGGACAAGGATTTCGGCCACGGAGGAGTGGCTGGCATGCCTGGCAGCTGCAGGAAAAGCCAGTGCAGCCGGGCAGACAACCATCCGGAGTACAGCCCCTTGCAGAGAGCAGTAACCCCTTTCCTAGACACCGGCAATGGGCTACAGCTTGAGACACCGGCACTTTACGTTCCAGGGGGTGAGCACCCGTGGTTCCTGCTGGGCAGCAGGGCACCGAAACCAGATCAGAGTGAAGGAAGCCCGGCGCCCGGCAGGGTGGGAACGCAGCCAACATGCTTCCCCCACATCCAGCAATGGCAGAGCCCTGCCCGGCTGCAGGAACAGACTTCTTTCCTCACAGTCCACTGGGCCGAGCGAGCTGAGAACGTTCAGCCCCGGGGGCAGCGCGCGCTGTTGCAAGAGACGTGCGTGATTGAGAACTGGGCCGTGCTCACCGCGGGGTTCTCTCTGCCTTGGCCCGCACAGGGATCGGCTGAGCATGCTCGCAAGGGCAGCGCTTGCCTGAGACGCTCGTCCTGCCGCAGCACCTCGGGTCACCACACACACCTGGACCTTTCACCAGCACCTCAGCTGCGCACGACTGTGTCCCGTGCTGACAGCCGGCCGTCCAGGTGCACGCGAGCTGATCAATTAAGCTGCATTGAATGGTGACATGCTGGCATGGGAGGGTCCCTTCGTTTTCTCCCAGAACAGGCATGCGGCCGAGGAAAGGCTGAAAGCCCCATCGCTGGGGCCGTGGCTGGGGGACGGGAGCCCGCAGGTGCAGGGGGAGCAGAGGCAAGGGGAGAAGTGGGGAGAGCTGGAAAGAACAGAGGGAGTGAGCTGGCCGGCTGGGAGAGAGGATGCAGGTTTGTCATTGGGGAACACTCCATGCTCAGCAATAAGCGCTGCTGCTCCCCCTGCACATCGCTGGCCCCAGCGGCTCTCCAGGAGAACCGCATTCCTCTGGCTTTCCTTGCACAATAGGGAGGGATTCCCGGCCCTCGGCTGCTCCGGCCCCACCTCCCGCAGCCCCTCCACACTCGGACGGGGCCTGGTCCCCTGAGCTCAGACCCACAGGAGTGTCGCTGTCTCCCTCTCTCCTCCAGCCGCCCTCGTTGGGCTGATGCAGCAGGGGGCTGGGGTGGGCTGGAAAGGGCTGCACTGATCTGGAGGCTGGAGCGCTTTGTCCACTGAGAAAGCAGCGGGGCCGTTCTGCTTGCCCGGATCACAGAGCCCCGAGCCCAGGCCAGGCCACCTCCCAGTGCAGCACAAGGAGAGCGACCCCCCAGCACGCTGTCTCGCGGTGCTGCTGCCCGCCAGACAGCCCTTGGGCTCCGGGGGGATTCCGCTCACTGCACTGGGGGGTGCAGATCTCAGAGCAGCCGGGGGGTGGGGGGGTTGGGTTAGTTCCTCACAGCAGCCTTTCCATTGGCTTTCCCCAGCCCTTCCAGGGCAGCGAGCCCATGAGCCCAGGGCAGGTGTTGGGGTGGGACGACGGCTCTCGCTCCATATCACAGCCTGGTCAGCTTGGGGTGTGCAAGGCCCGGGGATGTGTGTCCTGTAGGGGCACCGTGGGCATATGTGGGAAACGGCCTCCCAGCTCCTGCATGGGAACCCCAACCAATTCCAGTGTCTGGGGCCTGGCACTGGGGGTACGGCGCCCACTCTGCATCCCGGGGCTGGGCGCTGCCGAGGG